ATTCTTATTTTCTGGTGATTACACATGGATGAAAACATGATTATACATTCTGTAGCCAATTTCTGTTAATAAATCCTTCTAGATCTTACACACTGCACTTTTAAGAAAAATGAGGAGAAGTACTAATTATTCATTGTAACAATCTCCTGTTCTTTAAAGTGGAAAGTCAACACTACAGCAGTGCTTAAGAAAGTTCACCAAAGACCCCTCTTTTTAAGACAGCTGAAAAGTCTTTTGATATTATGGTTTAGGTATGATGCAATCTATGGTGCTGAGGCTGAGAGCATCCTTAGCTTGTGAATAACTATCTGGTATGAAACATTTCAGCACAAGATGGAAAATGTCTAGAAAAAAACTGTATCCACTTCATCGAAAATCACTGAAATCGACATCATTAGACTACAGACAAATGGATACAGGATTTTCACTACTCCACTCACAGCATTTACCATCTTTTTAACTTCCTAGAATTGGGTACCATTTTTATTAGATGCTGTTTTCATTCCAGTTTAATGCAATCTAGGTATTTTAGCTGGTTATGGTATTGATACCATCCCTATGGATACTTGAATTATTTAAATTAGTATTATTATTACTGTTTCCTTTTTGCTCTACACTTTTTTCTTTCATCCTGTTTAATGTCCTTGAGTGTTACTTAGTGTGGTGTGAAATATAGTTTTTGTCTTCTGTGAGCTCATCAAACCTAAATTCTTGTAAACAATATTGAATTGAATCGTGACTCTTGAGTCTTTTGCCTTGTGTTTTCAACAAGTATGTGGTGGTCATTTGGTGGCAGAAGGATCAGAAGCCTCCATCTGTGTTACAAGTGTCTTGACAGATTCATTTGTCTCTATCCATTTTAATTTAAATAAATAAATGTAATACAGATCATCTTTGCTTAATATCTGGCTATACCACCAAACCATACTACAAAGATTGTATGGTCTTATTCACAAGTGCATGCTGCAAGTTGGTGTATATAGGTACCCTGTGTGTGTGTAATTAAGTAAGAGAAAAAGAGAGCGAGTTATAGAGTGTGACTGTTGAGTTACCGCTTCCATTTGTCTCCATGTTAGATGAAGAAGCGGTGGTTTCTTTAACACGGATTTACTTACTGGTTTTTAATATACACATGTATAACTTCATACACTGAAGCACATGCACACTGAGCTCTGCACACTAATGAATGGGACTCCTGCATTCTAATCCATCAGATTAATTGGAAGTGCCTGGCTATGGATTCAGAAATTTGTCATCCCCCAAGCACTACTCTTGTTCACGGCCTGTATCTGCCATCTCTGTTTATATCAAGATGTAACATCCAGGGAGGAGTGTCTCGAACAATTGTATGACGTAATGTTTGTTTAGTTTTAGTAAAGAAAGAAATATTCCGCGATCACATACCAATGCAGTTGTTCATTATGTGGTTTTCCGAGCCATTTGAGTTATTTTGTGATGATATTTGGTAATTTATTTTTTTCCTTTCCTGATATCCTTTAACGCTTCTCCTCTGTTCATAGTTTACTTGATTTAGAAATCATTGTCCAGTGTGCATGTTCAGCAATTTCTTGAAAAGGGAACTGAACTTTTCTCATTCATTTAAGGTTTTCATATTAACTAGTACGTTAGCCTTTTTAGGTATGCTATAGTTGTGCCATTTTCATAGAGTACCCTTTCCTTTCTGCCCCATATATACATTTTTTCTTGTACATTTGTTGCACATGTTACAAAGATGTCCTTGCTCTTTGAATCTGCAATAAAATCAGGGATAAATTCACCTGATCCCAATGCAAGTCAGGATGTTTAAGACATGCAAAACTCCCAACTTATTTTATCCCAATTCCTTTTTAAAATAATAACACTTTCTATAAAATCTCCACAATACTGTAAGTGTTTTGCATGAATTTGTTGCAAGTATGCTGCTGGTTCTGTTTGGATAAACTTGTAAGGTGCTGGCTTACCTCTCGCCCTCCCTTTGGGTAGATCTAGTGTGCTGGAAAGCTGGCAAGAATTGGCACAGCTGACGCTAATCATTTCCATCAGTGCGGCTAGTATGTAGCCGGCCTGGCTTCCAGGTCTCCTCACCTCCATCTCCTTTTTTCTGAATAAAATTTTATCTGGTTTCAACCCTCTGAGTCTGCTTTTGGGTCCTCCTGCCCAGAACCGGTGACATCACTGTAACAAAACACCAATGGATTCATTCATTCATATGTCTGTTTTGTTTTTATCATTCTTGTGCTTTTATTTCATCAAAATTAACTATATTCCAATAAATTGATCTCTCTTTTGCTCTGTAAATAAACTGACTTGACTTGCTGTCATAACCAGGACGATGTACCGCAAGATATGCAAATTTGCTAGTAAATAAGTTTTACCCAGGTAATATAAATCCAGTGCAGTTCAATAAATTCAATATCTATTCAGTTTGTGTTTACAGAGGAAAGCTGATTTAGCTCGGTGGTTATTTTGCCACTGTACCAAGGCTGTACTTGTGTTTATGTTCTTATGAATGGATGAAGTTTGTGGTGTTCTTGAGTTGGATTGCTTGCTTGCTTTATATGAACAGGTGCTCAAGATTTGTCTTCCCTCATAAAGTTCTATAACGATGGGATTTATTGCAGAACTGATGCATTTAAGTGCACTGGATGTGCCTCAGTGTACCTTTTATAAACTGGTAACTCCAAAAATGTATGGGCTTAGAAAAGAGTTGATGGGTTGTCAGTTTAAAGAAATGCTGGACCAGCATGTTAAATTTCATGTGCATATATGTGCAAAAGCCAGATGTCATTAAGTATGTTGTGAATGTTGAAACCTGAAGTGCTACTCTAGTTTTATCATTGCTTGTTTGTTTTTTGTATTTCCTGTAGCGGATTGTCAGTTTTGCACCAGCAACATCTTCGGGATTTTAGTTTTAAATAACATGGAATTTGACATTTTATTAACATAACAATAAAGAATAGCACATCAAGAAAAAAAAAACTAAAACAAAACCAAAAATAAAGGAGCTTTGGTTTGCCAGTCAATTCGGAAAGCACTTTTAGTACAATTTAAAAACCCCAGCTAATGCAGAACTGCAGGTTTGTGTTGAAAACAAAAGAATCACTTTCAGCCTTGAGCTTTTGTCATCTTAATGTCTGCTTTCAAGTGCAAAAAATTTTTTTGTTTTTCTACACTGAAGCAAGAAAAAGCTGACCACCCTTTAGTCCTCCTCGTTTGTCATCTTCTATTCATCTCT